GATAAGTGCTCTTTGATCCTGATATTCAATTTCTGGTAGGTCGATTAATTTAATACTTTAAAAATTAAAAAGATCATTTTCGTGTTACTGTCATCGAACTGTTAAGGAAAACGAGCATCAGAAACCTACCTACGCTGTTAGAGTTGGGTCTTCTGTCTTCATTGGCCATCGTCCCATTAATCAGTGAATATGCTAGGACCGTCCGTTATGGACATTAGTCGATTTGACGAGACCCATACCCGACCACGCTTGAAGGCTTCATCCTAGGATTTAAAATTGACGAAATTTCATCACAAGGCCCCATGAACATAATTAATGAATACTGATCGCAGCATCTGCGGTACTAGAGAAATCCAACATTCGCGGCAGTCATTTTGATAGCTGTTTCGACCTGATGGCGGTGTAAGCTTGAGGATGATCATCACTCACATTCAGACTCAGATCACCGTACAGTTACGTCATTGCACCTAATTTCACAGCTTCGATTCAGATTATGAGCGAAAAACATGATCATAAAATGAAGATTATTCAGAATGTGGGCGATCAGCAACAGTTGGCATGGAAATCGTCATCGGAATCAGAAAGCGTCGCATGGCCAGAAACTAAAAGAGTCTGAAGCTTTCCGAATCTATGGTCTGCTCAATGGCCGTGATGCCTGGATCATCAGCGATTCGAAATGCAAATCAACCCATGTGTTCAGGACTTAATGTTACCGGCGATTGACATGAATCTTTTGATGGAAACCGGAAGCCGAAACGATTCAACCTTGAAACAACTTGAAACCCGCACTTGCTGTTCTTCTACCGACGTACCAATGAATAAACTGTGGTATTCTGGTCACTCATAAGAGGTTGCTACAGAAGTCAGAGTCCCGAGTAGTATTCTGAATATTTCTCCACCAAATCATTAGGTATGTCGTCGAAAACATGCAACAGGCGTAAACGATCAGCACAGTAGCTCGGCAGAGTTCAACGGCAAGGTACATGCAAAAAGCCACCGACCGCCTAACAGAAGTTTTGGTCATTGTTTGGTGAGCCGAAACTTGCGTCGTCCTCCATGAGTTCCTAAACCTCAATGAAACATTGAGGTGAATTAAATGTTTTTCACCATAAGAAGCCACCAGAACTTGGCTCAACATTGGTGAACAAAAGATGCTGAATCCCATTCTACGAAAGTGGCAGTACTCATCTTTCACGAATTACCTACCGGAAATTGTACGAGACGTGATGCGACACTGCCTGTCAGTCATTTTATCTATTTGACTCATCCCAGTACATACTTTGTATAACCTTTCGAAACCATTTGATAATTTTCTATGAAACCTTTTAACGGCCTATGATAAAACTTGACTGCGGATTCGACATCGGAAGGCGACGTAGCACAAATAACACCATAAATTAGCAAAAATAAACACAACCAGTTATTAACGAATACAAACTAATATGACAGGGAGGACACATGCTTCATGCCGTCTGCAAACGTAAAATGACAACTCGTTATCCATGCTTTGATACAGCGATCTGTTATGATCTATAAGTGCACAAATGTTTCTCCGGTTTAACCATGTCCAATGAAACTGGATAAAATTTTTCACATATTCCGAGTTCGGTTAGTATTAGGAGAAATGAAGACACCTACTTGATCATTGCTGAATTTTTTTTGCTTACTGTAATTTACCATCCACTGTATCTGCGAAGACCTCTATTCGAGGTAACTGATCGTCGTTGAGCTAGCAATAATGGTATTGTCTAAATTTTCGAGATATAATATTTCACGTTTTCTATCGGTATGGAGGAAAAGGTGAAACGTCGCTGATCTGATATATCTCAAATAAGGAATGGCGAAAATTCCCTCTATTCATTGCGCATCATTATCCAACCAGATATAAATTTTCTTCAGACTATAATATTTGAACAGTAAAAGAGAGCACCAAATTTAAAATGAATCAGGTTGTCAACCTCCATTTGTTCATTCATTTTTTCATTCGTTAATTAATTATTAATTGATAATTATTTTAATTGATTAATCCATTCGTGCATTAATTTATTCGTTATTTCACTCATGTTTTGTTCATTTATTCATTTTTTCATTCATGCTTGAGAGCCGCTATTCATTTCAGATCGTATGAGGGTTGTTTCAGAAGGCCTCCTTTGTGATTTCCTGGTATGCCCTGGATGGACTACTTCAATGGTATGTGCCTCACTCACTGACTCACCTCTCCAATCTTAGGACTGAGAAGCTAGTGGCATAATGTTTTCATAGATTGCAACCGCAATCAATGCAAAATATCTCATTGAGTCAACTGTGTTTATGGGGCAGATACATAATGGATGCCACTTTGTACTTCATCTCAGATGTGCGGATTTGAGTTCATGTGCCGCATGTAATTTCTCATAATAATTGCCAGTTTTCTTGACCAAGAAATTCACTCCGTTTTTCTTCGAAGAAACTAGCTGAGAAATTATATCAAGTCATTGACCTGCGAACAGCAGATCCAAGGTATTCCAGTGTTTGTTTAATAGGTGTTTGAATGATTCATTGCTCAGGGCACCAAATACAACAAAAAGTACAACACTTCATTGCCAACTCGTTTCGCTGCACAGACCGTAGCATCGTCAAGGCAAGACTGAGCACAAATGGTCGTTTGGAAGCTTTTACGTCCAATAAGCGAACAGTACCAATTTTCAAATTGGTTCATCCTATATAATCAAAATATTGCTAAGCTGACTGAATAGAATATTAACCAGCAAACAAAGTGTAATGTTCGTATTAAAATCAACTGGATCAATCAATCAATCAATGTTCCAAGAATCCCACCCAACCTGACACATTTGACCTGTAACTGCGACAGAGAAGAGTAGCATTAGAGAAAGTCGAGCCCCATAATCTCTGACCACAGAGTTAAACGAGAAGATCGCCCTGATTCAAATGCTTGTAAAACCCTGTTCAATATATGGATCGAGAAAGGAGTACCTCTTTTCATAAAAACTGAGCCTCTACATTGATCCTCTCAAGCCGGTACTGTTGACGGCAGGAAAACAGCTGTTCTAACGAGGAACTAACGACGGTTGAACTGCGCACAACAGCGTTGACTTCGACCCATAAGGAGGATTAAATAGCAACACCAATTAAAGATGCTATTCTCTTTCAGTCAGAAGCGTCTTCCAGTCGACGCTGCCAATGGGCTTACTGACTTTTATGATAGTTCGGTTTCACCCTAGGCGTTGGCACATTGGAAACGTACAGGAAGATGTTTGCGGAATGGTAGTAATTCAATTCTTTTCACTTTACAGAATCTTTATTAGATTTCGACGGTAGATGATACCGTCTCCATTGCCGTTAGTGAATAGTCAGTGACAGGACTGGCTTAAAGCATCAAATGTGATTCGCTTATGGTCCTTCTCTGACTGTTTCTGGTTACTGCACATTGCCAGGTAAATCTGACGTTCAAGAAGTGATGAGGTACATAAACGTTGACCGTTTGACCGTCAACAGAATCTCGTACACCTTTAACTTATCGATCGATGGTTTGAGACTCGAAACGATACATTGAGCAGAAGGGTCGGAATTATTAGCCATTCGCAAGGTCGAGACGATATTATAAACTGATTTGTGCCTCAGTTTCGACCACTTCTGTAATTGCTGCCCTGGGCCGGCTTTGCCACAATGTTGCTGTGTGAGCCTTTCTGGAAATCGTTGTCTCAATTGCAACCGTTTTCAGATAACGTTGGTAAAACCTGTCAGTGGCGATAGTTGATCGCCGTAATCCTATTTGTGACCGATAGTTTTCTGGCTTCGAGTCGTCCGTTTATTTTTGACTCAGCGAATTCGTGAGACCGTTTTGACTCGGTCTGTTTATTTCTCCGCCTCACGCCCGAAGCGTCAGCCTTCACTCGATCCCGTTCGAGCAGTTTTCGAGTGAATCGAGGCGTTCGTTTTTCTACAAAACAGAGGCAACACGTCACGCTTTGAGTGGCCGTTATGGAAACTATAAGGAGTCAGCAAAACTATGAGGAAACTGCGTAGGCATCGAGGGCATGGGGTTCGTTTCGCCGACATGGTAATCACGCCTAGAGGGCTGTTGCGAAAGCGAACTCAGACCTATATTAAGTAAACAAATTACGTAAACGGTATGTATAAATTGTATGACGGGTGTCCGTTTTTCAGCCGGCTGCCTGCGACCAGTGTTTACCTCCGAAATTGCGGTTTGAGTTTTTCGATTATTGAATTATCTACGTAATCTAGCCCTCAACGAGAAGTCTTGATCATCGACTTCCTGTTGTCG